TGGGAGTTGAAGTCCACACATCTTAAAGCCGCCGAGGTTGGGAAACACTGCGATAGCCAAAGCCAGTCTGAAGAATGAATGTTGCAGAAAGGGGACCAGAATGGAACAAGGGTTGGACTTTTTTTAATCAAGCAGGAAAAGGAAGATCAATTCAGTTACATTTGTCCTCTTTCCCGTCCAATGAGGATGAAGGGCAGAAAATACTTGTAAATAGTAGGTCATCGTCAACACCATTAAGGGATTCCCTCCTTCCCCAAAAAGGGAGGCAGCTGTCAGTGATGCTCTTGCCCACCCAGTACATGGAGCAAGTCAACGCAACCCCCTCTAGACCTCACCTTCATCCTCAGACACATCCAGAGTCTCATCCACCGTCTCTGGAAAACTCATCCGATGCTTGTCACTTAATGACTGCAAGAAGCAACAGGTCAGGTGGGAGGGGAAGCCTCCAAAGTTGTAAGCCCCCCACCCCACCCCCCGGGCAGGGCTTGAGTTTGGAACTCACCAGGAAGCTGGTCTCATCGGTGACCACTTTCAGCACGTCAGTTACGGAAATGTAGCCGAGCCGCTTGGCGATGGCCAAAGGTGTAGCACCATTCTGCGGAGAGACAGAAAAAGGTGCTCCTTATTCACACTTACGCCAACCCTGTTCGGGATTGTGTGTCAACCGCTGTTCAAAAAAGCATTCCAAATTCTGCACCGAACCTGAATTTGGGAGCCTGCTTAAATCAGACCGGTGTGCACAAATCTCTTGTTGAAATCAGAGCAACCACACACTGATCAACACGCTGGCAATGGTGAAATGTTTCAGTGACCGATTCACTACTTGCCTAGTATTCTCACTCGAGACACTAATGACCAGGGTTAGATTATCGTATTTTGGACACATTATGCAAAGACCCAGCTCCCTTGAGAAATCCACAATATTGGGAAAGGTGGAAAGAAAGAGAAGAGGGAGACCAGCAGGAAGGTGGGGGATGGACTCAGTTGCGGTGCACCGTTGGAAGTCCTGAAGGACCAGGTTGAAGACAGATCCTCCTGGGGAAAATCTATCTGTGTGGTCACTAACAGTCAACACCAACTTGATGGCACATAATCAATCAATCAATTTGCTAGTAGAATCTGGACTAAATCTGAAATACACCGCTTCTAGTCATGTGTGGAGTGACTGGGTGAATTGACTAATAATAGGCTGACTGACTCAAGGACCTAGCAGCTGCATTTGCAGAACATTTTACCCTCAGCTAGGTTTTTCTGTGGCATTCACATTATGTGAACACAACCTGCTTGATTAATTTATGATTCCAATAGAAGAGAATGTCTGTAGTCCAGTGTTGAACTGTGAAGTCCTTGGTGCTCTCTGAGCTGGGTTGTTTTCTTGCAGACATTTCATTGCCCAACTAGGTAATGTCACCAGTGCTAGTGAGCGTGGGCTTTGCTCCCTGTTTATATACAGTAGCTTGCCTTGCCAGTGTTGCTGGGGGTGAGTTTTCTCCTTGGTAGTTCCTTGATTAGAGCACTGTTTTCGGCTTGATTGTTCATCTGGTGTCAATCCCTGCTTATCTGGGTGTTGGCTGCTGGAGAGGATGTGTTCTGGTTCTTTTGTTTCCTTCTTAGCTTTTTTATTTTCTCTTTTGAATGGTGTGTAAATATGGTTTATCTCTATGTGTCTATTGGTGGCTGATTTGTCTGAATGCCGAGCTTCCAAAAATTCCCCCGTGTTTTTGGATTTAGCTTGGTCTAGGATGCTCACAGTTTCCCAGTTGAAACTATGGTTGAGTCTGTCCATGTGTTGTGAGATTAAGGATTTTTCATCGTGTCAAAAATTCCCCCGTGTTTTTGGATTTAGCTTGGTCTAGGATGCTCACAGTTTCCCAGTTGAAACTATGGTTGAGTCTGTCCATGTGTTGTGAGATTAAGGATTTTTCATCGTGTCAAAAATTCCCCCGTGTTTTTGGATTTAGCTTGGTCTAGGATGCTCACAGTTTCCCAGTTGAAACTATGGTTGAGTCTGTCCATGTGTTGTGAGATTAAGGATTTTTCATCGTGTCTTCTGACTGCTAGTTGGTGTTCATGGACGCGCTCTGCTAGTCTTCTGCCTTCTGTCCTACATAGTGGCTGTTACAGTCCTTACACTGTATGCGGTAGATGACTCCTGTTTTTTGTTCTTGGGCTACTGGGTCTTTTGGTTTACTTAAGATGTTTTGGAGAGCTTTTGTTGGTTTGTGTACTATGGCAATGCCTAACCCTAACCCTAGACAAATTTTTATGATTCATCTGCCCAACACATTAAAACCAGGCTACAATGGAACTAGGTTATGGTTTGGCGCCCAGTTGTTGTCTTAACCCATTGTTTGATTCAGGCTAGCATGTCAAGACATAACATAGTTTATAGGTTTGGGCTAGCACGGGATGTGGAGATCAGAGATTTACACATTGCTAACCTGAATTTCTTAAGTTGGGTTAGCCCACCCACTCAGGGCAAGGCTCCAGGCCCAGCAATACTGGGGCCATGCAGACAGCAGCAAAGCCAGGTTACTTCTGAATTTGAAACCAGGCCAAACTGCCCTCCATCCCTTTTTCTTTGCACAGGCATCCCTGGGTGCCCCGTGCTGAGAACAGCACCCCTCTTAATGCCTGAGGCAGACCTTCCATTTTGCCCTCATCCTGCCCAAGCGCCATGCTTCTGGGTGGTTTCTACTCACATGTCTCAGCTATGCATGAGCTAAGCAGAGAGGACAGTGAAAAATGGACAATCCATGGGCGAGGAATGGGGAACAAAAGCAGGGCAAGCAGGTGAGTGGCTGCCTGGTCGCTTGGCCCCTTGGATTTGCACACTCACCGAACTGATTTCATTGGGTGAGGCCCCGTGCTTCAGCAAAAGGGTGACTATGTCGGTGTGGCCTTGCTGGGCTGCTTGGTGGAGAGGAGTGTAACCCAGCTGCAAGGGGGAGAGAGAGAAAGACCAGTGCAGTCAACAAGCCAAAGTCATGGAGAAGTTCCCATCATTGCACACAACTGCCCCAGGACACTTGTTCAGGCAAGTTGCTTTGCATTGCAAGGTGTTTCTGGGATAACCTGAAAGGGCATAGAAATTAAGTCCATCTGCAAAGACATTTAGATGGACAAGTAGGCAGGATCGTGGCCTTTTCTTAGGGCAGTGTTGTCCAAACGTGGCCACTTTAAGATAAGTGGACTTTCACCCCCCCGAATTCCCCCCCCACCCCACCCCGGCGGGGGGACTTTGGGGGGTGAGAGCACTCTCCCTATCTGGGCG